GTTGACGTGTGTCGCTCAAAAACATCTCACTAAAGAGATTAAGAGTGACGTTTACGGCAAACCGCAAACGCCAGATTTAAGTTGAGAATTTCTTCAAATAGAAAATGGGCAGTTATTAATATGGGGAACGAGTTTGGGTTGTTTCTTGATGTTGACTTCATCGTGCGTTTATCAAATGATGTAATGCAAAGGCATTACAACAGTCTTAGGACAAGTAACAGTTTCAGCAAAACCGACAATTTCCAGGGTTTAAGGGGCTGGCTAATATTTGGGCGCCAATATGAGTTTGGTAAGTGCCGATAAGGTTTAAACTTACCGTTATCGGTTTTTATCCCGCTCAGAAATGCTGTCGCGGAGCTCGCAGAATCTGTCCCCTGTTGATCAACTGTGTACGTTTTAGCGAGGGCTGACCACGGAAACACTTCCCAGCTCAGAATATTCTCCTCTCCCGTGTGTCCCTTCTGTTGTCCGTCGAGGATTCGTGTCGCGGTGATGGTAGTGATACCCATTCCATCACCGAGAAACAAAATAGCACTCTTGGCGGTGTTGGTGTTTGGTTTTAACTTAAGGTTGTCCTCAACAAGCTTTACGCCAGCTTTGTACCATTCATTGTTGTCTTGATTCCTAAAGATGTCACCATTGACACCTGGAAAGATGAAACGACACGGACACTGATAAGTTGTCCTGTGATCCAACCTCTTCCCCAGGGCTTTTCCCTCAAAAAATGGGTGGGGCGGGAAAAGGCCCTGGCATCGGCTGGTCACGTGTCTCCTCGTACACCCTAAAATCCTGGGTGTAATAAATTAGCGCCATGTGAAAAGCTACAATTATGCGTAACCTCACAGCGCGCGATCTTGGGCGACCTTTTATATCTCTTGGCGATTAACGAAAAGTTTTACAAGGTTTCCTTTTTGTCACAGATACTGGCTATGGTAATTTTTTGCTTTCCTCCGATTTCTATGAGGGGGAGAGCGAGTAACATTTGTAAAACTTCTGTTTATAGAGAGGTATAAATGACAAACAAGCTATCGTACATCCCGGGTCGTACATGCATAAAGGTTGTACTGGAAAGTCCGCTTTCTCGACCCTTCTGATATTTTATTTCATTTCTGGCGAAGTGGGCCGCCGTACACAGCCTAGTTCTATTCACCTTAACTCTCAGCCATATCATAGCGACACGCGTTGGCGTAGACTTATCCTGTATGACCCGAAAAATTCATTGACCTCTGCGAACAAACGACTGGCAACAAGAAAGGCTTGGGTCCATTTAAAATCGACAGAGCTGTAGTTGATTCTAATCGATCAGTCAATCTTCTCTTTAACATAAGGAAAATCCTTTGTACTTATCCTCGGAAGAGAAAAGATATAAGAGGTCTTCAAATGTTTCAGATCGGTGACCTGTCATCGTTCCTGGCTGGAGGGCTGACTTGCTTCCGGTGCGGAGATTTGTTTGTTTCATGCCCGTTTCATGGTCGGGTTGTAGAGAAGACCAGACTCCATAAAGCAGTTTTGATGAACAATGCCATTTCAATTAAGTTCAATTTGTTTAAATTCACCGCAGATCTTGGAGGCAAAGGCCCGCATTTTTGTTGGAAATTGGACAAAATCACTTTCCGCTTGATCGCTTAATTCCACAGTCACGAATTAATAGTCGAGAACAGCTTGTCTCAACTCTGAAGCATTTGACATATTTTGTACGTGACAACGTAGAGCCGGTACGCCCTTTCATAAACTTGTAGCACTTGAATAATCCGCAATTAAATGGATCTTAAGCTTTTGAATCGCACACACGCGAAAATATTGACATAGTTCGCGATGTCATTATTTTCCATTGTTACTCCCTTCTGTCAGCGCAAAACTAGCTAGGCTCGATTTCCGCCGTCTCCCGGGTCCGGTCTTGATCCTCCCCGAAGAGAGGGAGGGATGAGTGCGGGCTCATTTTCCCGAACAGCGGCTGGTAATCGAGCCTAAAAACTAGCGGGCTGCATATAAATTAGCTTCTCAGGAATATTTAGGCTGTACACGTGACCAGCCGATGCCAGGGCCTTTTCCCGCCCCACTCATTTTTTGAGGGAAAAGCCCTGGGGACGAGGTTGCCTGTGATCACTTGCCTTGAGTTCTTTTATCTTATAACTTCCAAATGAGTTGTAAAGCAAATTTAAAAAAATCCAAATTTCTTGTTATAAATAATAGTTTTACTTGTCAAAAAATCTCTTGAGTACTGCCCCTCATTGACTGAAAAGTACTACGAAAGAGATTTCGTCTATGGATAAGGTTACACTCCTACCCGGACACGCCCGCTGTCTTTTAGAGTATCAGTTCCCCTGGCCAGCGCATAAAAAGCAAAAAATATGGTAAATTTACTAGGTTCACTTGACAATGTGATATTGACCGTCGTTATCTGTGGGTTGTTTGTAGTGTATACATCCGATCGTGGAAGTACACTTATCATGGATCAGGATCGCGTTAATAAAATAAGGATAAATCAGTTGATAAAATGCGCACCTTCCTCGCACCCCTCACCCTAGCCTCCGGGATTCTGAGACTTTTGCGGAAAAAATAACAAAACATAACAAAATATCCCTGTTCTTCTCTTTGAGCAGCTAGATTGAAATATAGTAATGTTACTCACTTACACGAAAATTTCTGTATGCGTCCCTATCAAGTATGTTTCTTTCAAGGCGGGTGACAACTTGCCTTAAAACTACAATCTTGGACAGAATAAATGGAACAGCAAACTCCCATCCTCCCTAAATGAAGGATGAAGCCTTACAAAAGCCAAAACGTGATAATATCTTTATTTCTATAGCGTGCCATTTTCTCATCCTTGAGATCACGTGACGCAAGCGATTGGCCATTTCCACGTTGCCTCTAGCCTCTACTTTAAAGCGAGGATAAGTGCAAAGATATTGATATGGAGATAATAGTGCCATTTATACGAGGAAAAATAAGACGCGTATTACATAGGACGCGTCTTCAATAAGACGCGAACTTTCCGTATAAACGGCACATTTTTTTTTTAAAATAAGACGCGGCTTAGCTAAGACGCGTCTTATTTTAGAACAGCCCTCAACACCTGTTCTTAGATAAGAAGCGTCTTAGCTAAGACGAGAAAAACTTTGTATAAATGACCTTCGCGTCTTACATGAGACGCGAACGCATAGTACGCATGCGTTAATTTTTGGCGCGAGACGTTGGATTGCCGTTGCTACGGGCAGCATTCACATGAAAACGAGTCAAGAACAGAAATAAGACGCGAACCATTTATACGAGCTGTTCTCGTCTTAGATAAGACATGCTCGTATAAATGGTACAGCTCGCGTCTTATTTAAGACGCGTCTTACGTAAGACGCGTCTTATTTTAATATAAATGGCCTTAAAATTTTTTTTCTCTCATGCAAATAAAATTCATTTTCACAAAAAGGTTTTGCACAGCCTCGCTTTGAAAGTGAGAGTATTTGGACCTACAGCGTATTGAAAAAATTCTTCTTTTCGAAACTTTGACTTAGAAAACAATGTTAACGAAGTTTCATTTTGTTTTCTCAGTCTTGTGTCAAGATGGGAGATTGGCGCTCTTACACAAGTGAAGCTGGAGTTAGGCTTAATAAATCGCCCTCTGTTTTTGCTGCGTCCTGCTTACGCTCGGCAAGAACAAGCGAGAACGCAAGAAAAGGAGAAATCTGCTTACTTCTCCTATCCTTGTGCTTGTTGTTTTTGCTATCGGTTTAACACCTCCCCTTCCCCCACCCACTTAAGCCGCATTGAAATGAAGGGAAGACTTGGCAGTTATTAATTACGCCCCTTTAATAGCTGCCAGTAATACGGAACAAAGTCTGATCAGACCACATGTAAACATTGTCTTCGGATTGGCTGTCGTTAGTCGAATGATGGCTCCCCAAAAAGAATATAGTGTTTATATCGTCGCGTCATCGTGATAGGTGACAAATAGCACAACGTAAGTGATATATAGTGAAATCATTTCACTCTGATACTGTACTTAAAACTTTTGGCTATTCGTAACTGAAAATTGAGTTTAAATGAAGCGGATCTCTAAATTAGTCTATTTGTGTTTAAAACTCTCAAGTTTATATAGCCTTGGGTTTAAAAATTCGTTACAAGAGTCATAGTTTTTTTTCTCCAAAACGAAAAATCTTTCTATGCTGAAATGGGTGAAGGTCCGGAGGGGGTACTAGAGTTAATTTTTGCTGGGTATGTGCCGCTGGCCTCTCAGAGCCCCTACCCCATTATAGTCTATTCTGTGACCAATTGTAGACCCCATCTTAGTCACGTTTGGGCAAATATGTAATTTTTGCAATCCCATCTTAGTCACTTTCTATTTATGTATCTACCTTATAGGTCATCCTTAAATGAATTGACCCATTTTTAGTATGAATTTGAATGGAGAACACTTTACTTTTCACCTACAGAACAAATATTCTGGTACGTTTGCTAACCTGAAATATGAAGAACTTTTATACCCCAAAAATCCGAAAATGTGCGATCCCATTCCAGCGGCACATCCCCATAAGGAAGTGCCCCTCCCCCCCCTTGGGTTATGATCGGTTATCTTAAGAAGATAAACGAGCTCTATCATTTCTTGGCATTGTTTATGGGGTCAACAACACTTTGATACGGTTAGCAGTTTGGCATCGAAAAAGGCGTATAACACGCTTTTGTCACAAAAAGATCTATTTTAATTATCGACCCGTGAAGGTTTTTCAGAGTTTGACGTGGAAATGTAGAATACATTGTGTTTCATCATTATTCTTGAAGTGCCCTTATATTGACCTTTACGGAAACTCAAGCCGCGGATAAATGTATTTTCCTCACGCAAGTTTAGAGAAAGAACTCTTATGCTTTTGCCGTTTTACATGTTCACTAAAGTGAGTGCGAGACATTGAGACTCGCGGGCTGCTTTCAGCTGCAACATTTCGTCGGAAGAAAATGTTAAATGTTATTTTCACTGTCGGTCGCGTACTTGGGCCAGGAGAACGAGGTTCAATCTTTTTACGTTTAAGCGCGACCTTCTGTACATTGCCTGTATTTTAGTTTACGGCAACGCGCGTAAAATTTACGTGCGCACGCACGGTAAAAATTACACGACAATGGTAATCATCTTTCGAGGGACGGCTATATGAACAATCGAAAATCAAAACTTTCCAGCTAGAGATGAAAATCAATTCATAATTAAGAGCAAATACAAGATGGGCTCAGACTGGTGGTTTACGGAGACTGAAAAAGTCCCCAATTCCTCTAACGAGCCACAAGAGATAGCGAGAGATTTACTGACCCTCCCTCAGGAAGTACATGTTTCGTCTTCTCAAACCTCGTACTGCAAGCTGCGTGTTTTAATGCACGCTCATGTATTTAATTTGTTTGCTCTACTATCATATAACAGTTTGCATTGCTACAAAAAGAGAACTGTTACCTCTAGTAGTTACGTAATAGCATAGTCCAGGTACCTAGTTAGACTCTGAGAAAGTAACGTTAGTGTTATACAAAGGGTGGGTTCATTTGCAGTCTACGCTAACGTCAAAGTCTATGGTAAAAAAAAAAAAACTCTTATAGCCGTCGCATTTGCCCATTAGAATTTTTAATTGTTTTGATTCTTACAACGAAACATTAATATTCAAAGAGGGAAACAAATAAATCGACCCCAAATCTTCTATTTTTCTTACCTTTTGACGCACAGAGTAAGGTAAATATGGAGCAAATCCAGAGAAGATGACCTGCGACCGCCATTTTTCAGTTCACGGTTTCGCTTCTCCGGCCGATGGCCTGACTTGGAAGAGAGATGCAAGATTTTGAAAATAGATTAGTTTACATATTTTGTTTGAAGCATGTTTATCTAAGGTTAGACACGTGACAGAAAAAACATGTTCTAATTGGGTGCAAAAAGGACATTATTTGTAGTATGAAGAGCGTCAGACGATTTGTTACTTTCATGACAGGCGATTGTTTCAGTTGATCAGAGGCACCCAACAACAGTTTCCTCCTAAATGCATTGAAAACACTTTTTAGGCTATCCAGAGTACTTTTAGATCTCTAGAAATGCATTCTAAGCGGCGCTATAAAATTTGTATCTGTTCGGTCATCCTAGGGGAACTTGAGTATTTTCGAATTTACAATTCGAAAATTTTAGGTTTCCTTTTTTCTGCGAAAAATGGCATTCTGAAATGCGAAAAACTGAAATGTTTAGCCTTCCTCAAGCTATAGAAAATTCTAGGCAATTTTTACTTCTGCGAACAGATATATTACGGAAAAGCCCCTATTTGGTGGCCTGACCCAAGACCTGATTGTGTTTGCTTGCCAAATTATTCATTATCATTCTTGACGAATGAAGCCAATAGCCGCACGAAGTGGAGAAGAGTTATGTTTAACGATTATTTCAGTTTAATTTGCTTTGCGACTGCACAAATAAACGTGACCAACTGCTGCGTCATGCAATGAAATAAAAAGCTAAAATAGCCGCACGAAGTGGAGAAGAGTTATGTTTAACGATTATTTCAGTTTAATTTGCTTTGCGACTGCACAAATAAATGTGACGAACTACTGCGTCATGCAACGCAATAGAAAAGCTCATAAGTGAATTTGTTTGTGTTGATCGTTTCCTTATCCAGAGTCTGGAGCGGGGGTTCTACAGATCACGAATCAAGTGACAATTTTTTTTTTAAACTCGCAAATAGGGAGGCTTATAAGTATCATTTTTTGAAGCTTGTGACACATAACATACTGTACTACTATTCTCGTTGAGACATTTTTATGTTGAACTCGAGTTACCACAGTAACAACTGACCTTTTCAAGCAATATCAAAATGTTAAAGACGCTCTCGTCATGATTGATCAAGCTTTCCTTATTTGTGGCTTACGCAGCCGCGTACTGATGCTGAAAGGAAGGGTTTATTACGAGAAAATAACTTTGTAACTCTATAATAAGACCGAATGTGAAACGTTTTTCCTTCTTTCCATTTCTATCGCCATCTCTTCGTGATCCTCTTTGCGAAAGCAGACTCAAATACAGATTGATTTCCTTTTACTATGAGGGACGGTGTTTTCAGTCTCTTTGTTGTTTCTAATAATTAAAGTTTCTTATAAGGATCTCTTCGATCTTACAGGAAGCTTTTTCTAGTACTTAAAGCAAGTTCCTGCTGCAAGCTTCCTATTATTTTGTCCAATTGTCCTCGCTAATCTACATAAATTTGAAAATAAAACACGCTGAAATTACATAATTATCGTGACGTCAGGTTTTTTCAAAAGTTTGATCCCGTTTGCAAAACCTTTTCCCCAGATGTTTTATAGTTTAGCCACCTTGAGGAGCGATTACGAAAAGTTGCGTTTCCGTTTTTGTATTTTAATTGATCAATCTTGCAAACACGTCAAGTTTCATCATCATCTTCACCAGTAATGTCATTCATTTTCTGCATGCAAGGAGATTTGATTGTAGTTTGTGAATGAAAAACGGACAAAAAATATGAAGAGAAGATGAAAACATAATATCATATTTGCCACTCCTTACACCCCATTCAGTACCTCCACCTCTCACTCGATCCCCCTTGGCTTATCACCCCCCTGTCGAATGCACTACAGTAACTGGCCTAATTTCAAATTATTACTGGTTTAACTGAAGATAATTTTAATCGTTATTTGGTCCAACCCTCCCTTTTTTCTGCTCCTCTCTTGACAACGCTGAATCAAAGTTTGCTGACTCCTCCGGAAGCCAACTTCTGATTCAGTAATTCAAACGGTCTTAAAAGATCTTTCAGTGGTAAAATTCACATATCCTAAGGGCTAGACTGGGCGTTTCGTTCTCTGTCTTTCTCCTTATGACGCTTGTACATGGAAGGGATTACTTGGTTTAAATCGTAGCGTGTGAAAACGAAAGGATAACAAGGTTTAAGGAGAAACGTGATCTTTGCTTATTCCGTGCCACGAAAGACGCTAGTCGTAGATTTTATTCTCCTCAAGCTCAAGTTAAAAAATATAATGTTGTTATCACCAGCCAATATCTTCAAACAAAGAATAAAGGAAATACAAAAAAAAAAAGAAAGAAATAGAAACTGGAACTGAAGAGATACATGTTTCTATCGTTTAGACCCGTCTTAATTGATGTGATAAAGATAGATGTGATTCGATCATTAATTTTGTTTTGTAATTAATCTGAATCACTGCAGACTAGATGTAATCTTATCAAAGTTGTTTTCCGAGATTATTTGGGTCCGGAGCTACAGAAACAGCAGCGCAATCAATAGCAAAGAATAGAGCGAAGGGACAGACAAAGGTAACGCTCCACTTTTGCTCTTAGGCTTCCCTTCTCTATTCACGTGCTTCTCACATGATTTCTGCTTGCTCTCGCTGAGACATAAGGCGTAATCCATCACGTGAAATACGTACTGCTGTTCCACTACACCATGGAATAGGTAGGCCCCAGGTCCGTCCGCGAACACGCCTGCAAATAGGAAAACAGCGGAATGTCATTTCCGAGGGGTGGACGAAAGCACATGTCACGATAAAAAAGCCTCTAAGTGCAGCAAAATATTGAGGATTGAGGATTGAGCCGCGGGAAGTATTCTTTTGCATCGGCTTTGGAACGAAAAGGAAAAAATACTACAAAACGAAAAGCGAACGCTGTTCAATTCATTTATCATCATTCATATCCGAGTTTAGAGTCATCATAACTTTGCAAAGGAAGATACTCCAATTGGAGAGGGAAAAAAATTACGGAAATCAAATCTCAACATAATCTGCGTAACAGTAAACAAGTATTACGTATTATGACACTTATTGAGGTGATGGTCTCCTGCATAATCTCAGCCCAACTTCTTACCAACATCTTCTGATCCATGACTTTCATAGTTGACAAGAACTGTAGCCTGCTGAAGAAAGTCTTTGTCAGCAGTGTCCACATTGCGTAGGTCTGGACGGGATCCTTTCAGGCCACCTGGCCCGTTAGCATAACCAAGGGTAGTGTATGTTCTGTTCTTTGTGTCCAAAGCTAAGCTATCGTCTACTTGTTTTATTATACCAAACACAGGGTTCCCACGTTTTGGGTATCCGCCGATGGTGAAGACGTGAGAGTGGTCAGCAGTTACGGTTACAAGGGTTTCGTCTGAAATTCAAGTTAAAGTTTACATGGTTAGCAACTCTGCCTTTCAACAGTGCTGTGTAAAATAGACTACGAGTAGTACCCCATTTTTCCTCAGGGACAGTAGAGCGAGCGAGACGCAAGCACGCGTGAAAATCACCCCACGCGAGAAAAGGCGACACGCGGCGGGGAAATTTTCACACGAGCTTGCGTTTCGCTCGCTCTACTATCCCTGAGGAAAAATGGGGAAATACTCGTAGTCTAGTTTAAAAAGACTATGAAAAATGTGTACCGGATTTCAAATATTTAATTAAAAAGTCAAACCTCCCTACTTCCGGGAAACAAAAGGGACAGATACATGACAGAATGTTAGACTACAGTTGTAAGGACTGAATTTAAAACCAGAGTCTTCTAGAATCGTGCGTGATAAGAGAACAATCCACGGGAAAACAATATACCATATAGCTTGCTTTATAATGAATTATATTATTTAACAATTATTCCACCAGTGCACGTTGGATATGAGTTGGCTATAATAATCTCATATCCAACAAGCGCGAGTGGAATAATTGTCTTAATTATTAAAAACGCCCACAAAATATCGAGAATTCATCCAGAATTTATTTGTAAAAACAACCGATTTTCAGCTTGTTTTTAATTTTGAACAGACGCAAGTACTGTTACCATATTTGGAGAGCATGGTATAATGGCTCCTATACCATGATGGCTAAGCCAATCAGAATTGCATTATCCAGTGATTCAGTTTTTAATAAAAGTCTTTATAACGCATTAATGTAAGAAATCCCGTTTTTGTGTTACTACAGCAAGAAGCCCAGATATTAACTTGGAAATAAAGGCCAGGAGGTACTGGTTGGCTACCGGTTGGTACAGTAAATGACCGCTATTGAGAGTCTAAGTGAGTGAGAGAAAGCCGGAAAAATTTCCATGAAACCTGTTTATATGACTGGTTAACAAGTGAAGATTTGTCACAGCCACCGCTTGTGTTGAAGTCAAAATGTAGATGCTTTCAATCAATAGCGCGATATAGTGGGTGATTTTACCTTTGAAAAAGAGGTAAATGGCAATTAAAGGGGTGATTTTACCTTTGTTCACCATTTGCAATGCCTTAGTAACTGCTTTATTCATGGCAACTGCCTCGTTGAGAGCTTTTACAGCCTTGCCATCGTGATGTCCGTGATCAATACGACCTCCTGGCCAAAAAAAAGAAAAAAAACAAGACGGAAGCATTCATTTTTAGATTCATTCCTTGCGCCCTCATCAGCTGTGAGTTTTAACGTCATAATAGCGCAATTTGATTTTCCTCTTTCACTCGGGTTGGATATTTCCAAGAAAGTTGTTACTGGAAATAGACGTTTAAATAAGTAACAGAGCTAATCTGCGCAAGAAAAAATAAAAATATAAGACTGCTCAATCCGAAAAACACTGGGCGGACAGTTCACTCGCGCGTCTGTACCAAAACTCTTCTAACTGAAGGGGTAAATTGACATAAAGAGTTCAATTTTGTCATTTATTTTCTTTTTTACGATAAATTTTTTCATTAACATAGTCTTAAGTAAATAAACAGCTTCCTGTTAAAATCTCCCCTCGATCACACTCATACATCTTTAGAGACCGTGCTCTCGAACTAGTCCACCCAAGGACTTACGTAACAACTTCGATAGTGGAACCTCGTTTTGAAATGAGACCACCGTTGGGCCATTAAATTCTGGTCGCAATAACGAGGTGTTCGCATTAACGGGGTCTTCAAAATAATTAAAAGATTTAGTGATTTTTACACTTGGGTCGAAAGCATTTGGTCGTAATAACGAGGTAGTCGTATAAACGGGGTGGTCGTAAGGAGGGGTTTCATTGTACTTAAAAAAAGGCAGGACGTGGTTCCCCAATAGTCATGAGAAAAAAGCGACTTTCTTGGATTCGGCGAAATTCTTTCCTTAAACCACCACAACAACAGCGACAAGTTTAGTTTGATAAGTTCTGATCATTGAGACCAAGGGCGAAAATAACGCAGGGAATTTCCCACTTGCTAACTAACCTTCAACTAACAGGAAGAAACCTTTGGGGTTCTTCTGCAGTATTTGAATGGCTTTCTCGGTCATTTCTGCAATGGACGGTTCACCGGCCTTGTCAGCAGCTCGCTCCACTTCATATTGCATGTTAGAGTACTCAAAAAGTCCTTAAAAACACGAAACAGGACAATGGGTGGCTGGCTAGCTACACTCATGAAAGGAATCCTTTTTAGTAACTGTTCCTTATATCACCACTTTAAGATGTCTCTTGTCCTCCTAGGAGTTGGAGAGAATGGCAATAACTCTTTCTTTAGGTAGTTTAGAAACGTTGAATTTATAATGCGAGACAATACAGGGTATAATGAATGAAAGTTATATTAGTGATTCTAGTTGGTGGTGAGATGGGAAATAACCCAATGCGTTGTTAAATCTCTTTTAAAGTTGATAGAGGCACGGTGAAGACTTACTTCAAACCAGTCAACCGTTGATTTTCCCTTAATTAATTACAGCTGTGCTCATCAACAATTGAATTGAAACCAGCCACAAGGTTCAAAGGATCGCTGGCTAGTTTAGATTCTAATGCGAGGTGTACTGAACTAAACAAGTCAGAAAAACAAATTCGTTTGAAGTTAAGGGCCATTTTCAAAAGCAAAACTCGCAAAAGGACTACGTCAAAGCTACGTCAAAAGCGGTAGGGAACCACTACATACTCACATCGATCGTTTATTGCGACGGTGCTGTTTCGTATGGCCCGAAATTATCGGAATCGTTGAAGTTGCCTGATAATCGGAGTGTGGTCCTATAATTTCGGACCATACGAAACAGCACTGTCGCAATAAACGATCGATGATTACTCCTGAATCCTGAACTTCTGATAAGTTTTTAATAGTCAATGCTCTTCAATTAAATGAATTGAGCACTCTACGAAATACGTTCTACCCAGAATACAAGTATTTACATACACACACACACACTTTACTGCATAGATCCCCCTTAGGGGCTCTTCCGCCATAAAAGTTCTATCTAGAGGCTACCAGTATGTCTTGCTGGCCCTGTTACGATCTAGCGAATCCCCAGCCCAGAGACGTGTACAGAAACTTAACATCAGTCACAATCATTTCATTCACTTTCCTTCACTTCCTTTGATTTAACCCTTTAAACCCTACCATCAAAATTCAAATTCTCATGTGTTATCCCTATACATTTTCAATAGAAGTACTGGGGAGAATTTGTTGAAGTATCAATTATATTCATCTTGTGTGATCATGTCCTTAATTCTCACGACCACGCTGTTTTACAAAGCATTGATATTACAAGGAGAAAATTGATGCTGATCACTCTTAGGGCTTAAAGGGTTAAAGAAAAGCTAAAACTTTCAGTATAACTATATTGCCGACTTAATAATTATACGTACCAATTACGTGATCGACTTTCTCCCCATCAATTTGATCAAACTCAATTTTGTTCCAAACGTACTTTGAATTTGGGTGTCTACCAACCCACTCTTGAATCAGGTCTCTGCCATCTAGTCTCTCTCCTCTCTTATCCGGGTATTCTGGATCTGTCTGATTCTTATGCATAAGTTTTCTCCGGCCTCCAGCGAAGACAACTTCCATTCCATCTCCATGGGGATACTCAACAAGTTGTAAGGCTGTATTATACGTAAAGTTTTGTGAGTAATTTTCAGACACGATAGGTTGTCCAAATCGAATTTACAAGAATAGACTTTCTATTTGGTCTTGGTCCACACGACTACAACGTGAAAGTGTCAAATTTTACGTTTTGTCGAGGACGGAAACACAAGACAACAACTTCCTTTTTGTTTTCTTGAACTTTGATGCAGTCCTTTAGAATTCAACTCCAAAAAAATGTGCCAACATTAAACGAGAGGGAATAAGTGCGATAAAGTTTGAGGCAGCGTGAATTCACTTTTTAAAGTGACGTTTTCGTAGCCGTCACCGTCGCCGTCGTTGTTACTTAAGCTTCCTATGGACACCGCAGGGTGGGACTGGCATTGCATGAGTGTTCATCGAAAGAGGTGTCCGCCCCACAAAAAAGTTTCGAAATGTAGCTGAAAAAACGGTGAGGACCAATGCTAGTTGTCCATAGGTTTTAGGGAAAGAAGCGTCCATTTTTTGAAAATAGGTTGTAGGAATATTTGCAACAACCACGTACGGATGCGAGTCGTGGATAATCAAACAGTATGATGCGAAGTATATACAGCCTTCGAGTATAAATGCTACAGAAAAATTTTGCGCGTGCCCTAAACTCAGAAAAGGACGATTGCTTCCATTACAAATGAGCTTTAAGCCCCAGAAGGATGGTTGTTGAACACCGTCATTGGGCGGAAACTCAAGTTCTTTGGACACATTAAGAGACACGAAACTTTAGAAAAGGTTGTACTGAAAGGACAAGATCAGGAGGTAGACTGAGAAGGAGATGAAAAGATTGCATAAACGAGGCGCTTATATATAGATGCCGACACCACGAACGAAGCTGGGAGATTCGCATAAATCGCGTTCTCTATACCGAACTGCCGTGAATACCGCCAAATCCTGATGAGGATTTGAGACTATTCAGTAACCTGCGTAGAAAGCGTTTATTTTCCCGCCTTACGAGTTCTTTAAGAAAGTTGGAGCAAGAGCGAGAAAAGGGAAGAAGAGGGAAGGGGAAGGGACAGCGAAAAAGAAAAACTTCGATTGATCTCAAGTTAATATAAATCTGACAGACTCCCCGCTTATAACGACAGAGACAAGAAACTAGAACTTTTCTAGAATACAGTTACCCATTTAAACTCCTAGATTGTCTACTAACAAGAATGAACCCATGACCTTCCAGACACTAGTCGGATGCTCTAATATAACCACTTGGCTGCTAAAAACTCTAGTGATGAGCAGGTCATTTGCGGCCTATTGTGGGCTGACTTGGGAAGATTCAGTCACAAAATTGCGTTTTCAATGATCACGGTGAAAAGGTTGAATGTTTTTACGGTAGTGCAATGACTTAAAACTAAGTTGATAAACCAATTTCTGCTGCTTTACTTCCCCGATGAACCCTTCATTTGAACCTTCTCGAGAACTTTAAAAGTATTCCGCTTCCGGTTAGCGGGGTAAGCAAAGAAAATTACAAGAGGAGGCCTCCATTTATAAAGGAAAACGACATTATTAAACAATACCTATGTCCTTGCACTTGGACCCATCATCCTTTGCTCTTTCCTTTATATCAGCGTCACTTTCCCAGTTGCGGTCTGCTGCGTGAGCATATGAACACGCAGGAGTTGCGTGTGTAACTCGCGTGGTGGTCACGATTCCCGTTGACATTCCAGCCCTCTCAGCAAGCGTGAGAATGGAGACAGCTTTTCTCTGTTCGGTTGATGAAGAGCAGTAGAATCTTGTAATATCGGAGTCCACACCGACAACACCTGACAAACATTTAGGGAGGCAACAATGACAACACGAAAATGTGCAACATCAAAAATAATACGGTGCAAGAACTTGGCTAAACGAACATTACGCGCATTATTTGCTCAGTTTGTTACAATGCCAAAGTTGTTGCAGTTTTGACGAGATCTTTTAAGAATCTGAAATTTAATCAGCCAGAGAATGAAGGACACACCTCATCGGCCACTTAAAAATGTTGGCTACCGAGCAAGCAATTAAAAAATTTCAGAAGTATAATTATAGTATAATAAACCTGTCACTCCCACTAGTGGCAAATGTCAGGAGCCCATAATCAGGAGAGAGCAACGTCCATGTACCCGTTTCACGGCGTTTTCACTGATCAGTTTATTTAAAACAATTTTGGCGCGTCTTTTTTTGGGTCCCACAAACCAGTCAGCAAAACCTAAAGACCCGAAAACGATATTTTTGTCCTTTTATTGACGTTTGATACTTCTAATCGCTAATTTTGTTCTTTTCTTCTTTTTTTTTTCTGGCTTGCTTTCACAATCCAAAATATTTCTACTTATATCGATTTAAAAGAAGGCCTCGAGCAGTTTCTTAGGCTTAGGTCGAACGTCCAATTTCTGTCAAATTTGATGATCCTAATACTAATAAACAAAATCTATCGTTCTCAGTCATTAGCATTAGGCTTGTCCCATGTCATTGAAGTTCCGCATCGAGCCTTTACAGAAGCCTTCTTTTTGGCGGCGATACAAGTTTAGTCATCTTTTGGAGGTGGGGCTAAGGTTTAGACTTACCGTTATCGGTTTTTATTCCGGTAAGGAATGCTGTCGCGGAGCTCGCAGAGTCTGTTCCCTGTTGATCAACTGTGTACGTTTTAGCAAGAGCTGACCACGGAAATTCTTCCCAGCTCAAAATATTCTCCTCTCCCGTGTTTCCCTTCTGTTGTCCGTCCAGGAATCGTGTTGCGGTGATGGTAGTAATACCCATTCCATCACCGAGGAACAAAATAGCGCTCTTGGCGGTGTTGGTGTTTGGTCTTAATTTTACGTTGTCCTGAACCAGCTTTACGCCAGCTTTATACCATTCATTATTGTCTTGATTCCGGAAAACGTCACCTTGGACACCTGGGAAATTAAGTTGATACCTTAGTCATTGCTTAGTCTTTCTAGCCCGCGCGCGTGCACGTGACAGACGTTTAAAGGGGAAGGGAAATAAAAAGGGGAACTTACGCGTTGGAGTGCATAAAGGGCACGCGAAAGAGAATGTCACGAAACGCAGACCTCAGACGCCCGAAAAACGTAGGCTGTATATGGCAGACTTCCTTTCAATCCACAGCGATTCGCAGGCAAACCGTGTTAAGGTAACTGAGGCTTTGTTTTACTTTACCGGATACAATTTTTTGCCGACATGAAAAGCTATCCGTTACCGTATGATCGGCACTGGCACAGGAATGAAACTAGTCGTTATGGTACCGGAGCGCGGTTGGCGGAGATGGTTTGTCGCTTTAAATCCCAGTTTACTTCTGAATATTTACTTGCGTTTCAGTGTGGTTCCAGTCCTCGCTCCCATTTTTACCTGTTCCCGATGCTACAGAAGCATAAACAAACCCGCGTCATGACCTATAAGATATACTCAGTCAAAGTTTAGAATGCTACAAGTCATGCACTGTGTAGTGCTAGTAACCTTCGCGCGAGAGAGAAAAAGAAAGAGAACCACTGTTCAAGTAGACTCTCAAGGTCACGTTTCACATTACATGTATTCTTCGTTTTCACTGTCACGCAATAAACACGGCACAAAAAAATACATTTGAAACCGTCCAGTGGAAGAAGCCAAGAAAATGAAATGTTATGAAAGACTAATATATAAACAATTTGTCCAAATCTCAGGTCTTTGTGGCCCACAGTTTCTGAGTTAGTTGCCGAAACATTTCACGCACCTTTGTAGAGCTTTGTATGGAGACGCCATATTGGTGGACAGAAACTGTCCACCAATATGGCCGCCGGAAATCAACAAAAACATCTGGAGTTCACTTTTTCTATAAAGCTCCTCCTTTTCACTCGAGAACTAGCACACTTGCGCATAAACATATCTTCTAATACGTAAAATGGTTAAACTGCTGAAAATCAAACGGAGAGACTTTTTTCAAGGAGATAGCATTCCTATTTTGGTGTCACGCACTGTGAAAACGTGGAAGTTCAAACTGCTGTATTTTCGAAATGAAACATGCTTCGGGGCTGGAAACTTGTACAAAGATTTATTTCCTATTAATCTTCAACCTAGTGTAAATAACAATTCGTAAAACCTCGCTTTTTGACTTTGCAATCTGATGACGTCACCGTGAAAACCATCAATCACGAGCTTATGAGTTGCGTTTGGCCTGTCAACGCTTATTTCTTACAATAATTTTATAGAATATTTACAAAGATACCAAATTCTAATATTTATATTTTTATTATAAATTTTATATGTTGAAAGGTTTAATATTGAAACTGTTTATGGATAATTAAATGTATTTATGATATTTATTATAATACAGGATACACTTTATGTTGCAGATAGACTGACTGCCAATGAAAACCATACTTTGTGGTTCTTAATTTTTGTTAAAAGTACCGGTGACAGTGTTGCTGTTTATGTCGCTGACAGTTAAAGTTTTAACACTTACTACTACGTGTGAATGCACTTTTTCATTGTATTATAGAACTCTTATTCAAGGTGGTAAGACCCATCCTCTAATTTTTATTGTGGGCACACTCGCAAATAATTTTATAGAATATTTACAAAGCTACCAAATTCTAATATTTATTTATTGCAAATTTTATTTTATTATTTTTTTTATAATACAGTATACAGTGTATGTTGTAGGTACACTAGCTGCAATTTAAAACAAACACAAGGTTCTAATTGTCTCCTTTCAATAAGAAGAAAGTGATTTTGTTTATTCATATATACCTGGTAATATTGTTGATTTCTGAAACCCAGACTTTCTGAAACAAACTCAGACTTTCTGAAAAAGTCACAATGGGACCTTCCTTCTGCATGAATTTTTTTCTTTACCTTCTTCTTTGCATGAATTTTTTTTCTTGGCATTTTCCCTTGCATGAATTTTTTTTTGGTTCCCCCATCACTTTTCTAATGGTCCGTCCCTAAATTTCAATTGTTAATTTTTTGCCTCTGTTGCCTTGCCTCTTGCTTCTAAAAAATAGAAGACACTGGGAAACATGCGTGTACATTGGGTTATTCCAGAAAAAATCCACACCCCACCAACGGAAGGCACGGTTTTTTGACCCCCCGTTCCACCTGAATTTCCAAAACTGCTTGAGCCTCCCCTCCCCTCAGGATTTCCAAGTTCAAAGACCCTCCCCCCACCCATCCTGCCTTTGCGTGACAAACCATGGAATATTAGCGTCTTTTGGGTAACTTAGCAATACGGTCGAACCTCTCGGTACAGACACCTCTCTAATTCCGACAGTTTCCAATGTCCCGACAAAATTCTCATATATTTTCTTAAAAAAAAACTCTATGATACGGACTCTCTCTAATACGGAGAACGGACACTAAATCTCGGCCTCAGAGAGTAAATTCATACAAATGTATAAACCTAACCTCGTTATTACGGACACTGCGGCGATAAGGTGAATTCCGAATCCCGATCACGTGAATCTTTACAGGGTGAATCCCGTCTAGTCTGGCTGATGAGCCATGCAAGGTGAGATAAAGCCCATGCAGTCGCTGTATACCAAACAACGATTTACGAATGGTTTACAGAGGCACGTAACCGACTTTTTGAGGGCTTCAATAACTACAGATAGTATAAAGATCTTGTCTATTACATTTTGTACTCTGGTTACTGTTTACTGCACTTGCAAAATAGCGAAAGACGCTTTCAGAATTGTGCTTTACGTTACAACTTTTTACATGCAGCATTGCGCTGTAGCTCCCGATAGTTTCGTTTTAAAACAGTGACTAATTTGTCTGTAGCTGAGATGTACAATGTTGTATGTTACTAACAGACAATGTCTTTGTTCTGTGAATTAATAACTTGAAACGCAGTTTAAAGACGAGTGTTAGCCTGGCTTTAGCTCAATACTGAAAACTTAAAACTGTAAGTGGAGTCATAAAAGTGACGTCATCGTAGTGACCTCTCTTATACCGAGACCTCTCTTATACGGACACTTATCACAATAATGGTAATCTGACTGTTTATGACATTTGACGTGACAGTGACAAGTGGGTGTTCTATTTTTGTTGCATTCGCTTTTATCCGAAAAAGCGCAAGCAGTTACCGGTGTGAAATCCATCCTCCGGTAAAGCAGAACTAAACAAACGCTTTTGGACGTAAATTATCAATATATAGCTGCTTGAAAGTAACGAAATAGTTTGAGTTTCATCGATGGATGAAGACCGTTTACGTCGAAGCATATACAGCGAATTCTACGGCAACAGGGGCCGTTCGTTTGGCCCGCGTGGTGCAACTGCAAGCTTCATTTCAGCTAAGGAAGAAGGAAGTGTACTAGTAAGCAATCCAGACCCAGCAGACCCAGATCTTCCTTCGTTTCCCTTTGAGACAATCCGTATATCTTGCAAGTCAGATGCGTATCAAGGAATTGGTTATTCGTATGCTGGTGTCATCATTTACTCGTGTGACGGCAAATCAGAGTGGCAAACCGCCAATGGCACCCGTTGTAAGAGTGGATATCTAGTTATTATGGATACCGGGACTGAGAAAGTAAAGATATATCAAGGAAAGAGCCCAGGGCTTGTCCATGGTGCTGTTTATAGAAGCGCTTTTGGCGAAGAATGCACAGAAAGGGATGTCAACGCCGAAGGTTTCTCTGTGATGAACGGAGAATTCAAGATAAATTCGGGAGTGTTCAATCCAGCACAAGATGGCTACCACGACAACAAAAGATCCATGCATCAACTTTCGGCACGATGCATAAAGAAGGTAGTTGATAAGTGGATGGAAGCGGCTGATAACTTCTGTGAAGGCAGAAATTATATGGTCAAGGACTTGCAGTAGGATTCATGGTTCAGTGTTTTGTTTTCAAAGAAAGCAATCAGTAATTTTCAGATTAAATTCTGAAACGGGCGCTTATAAACTGAAGTTATGATAATTCTCGTTGTCTTACGAATAACCAGCAATTACTGATATCGTTCACTATTAGTTTTAAATCTGGCACAAGGTCAGGTAAATTTCACTGTTGTGTTCTTGTTTCGCACTCAGATACCCGATTTAAGAGCGGCCGTCTGTAAATATCGAGAATTCGCCGTCAAAACCGAAATTTCGAAATTCTTCATACTTGGTCAGAAAAAACCCTTTGGTAAAACATTTTCGAAAACTACAATCAAAGTTTCCAAAAAAATTTCCTTTTGGAGAAATTGAGCAAAACGTGAAATCCCGTGTCAGCGTCGCAGCCGCCATAAAAAATTACTGCAAATTAGCAGTTTTTCAAGTCGCTGGTTAAAATAGACGCGTCAACGTAACAAGATAATCTTTTACAGGTGAGTGTGGCATTACAAGGACAACTCGAAAATGTAAAAATATTTCAAAGGAACTTTTTTTCTCGCATTGTTTTCGAAGCGCCGAGATTCCTTGTCTTTGGGCCAAGACGCACACTGAAAATTGAGGAAACTTTGAAGGTAAAAATCGTAGCTTGGTACATGGAAATTTCTAATAAATTTTGCGTTACAATAAAGCTCTAATGTTGTTTTAAAACATATAAAAAATCTGGCTTGGGCAATTTAAAAGCCTCCGATTGAGAGAGGTAAACGCATAGTGAATTTTAACGTGTTTACATGAAAGTATTGCAAAGGTCACGCAAGCACAAGATCACCCGTAATTGTCGATAACATTGTAAATCGCAATAGCTGTTGAAGTAAAAAGAAGGAAACTCTGTCGAACGTAAAATTTAATGCTTAAATCAATCTTTATAGCTTTTTATCCGTTATCTTCCAGATATCTAAATTGTAAAAAAAGATTTGTGACCGCAACCATAGGTCACTTGAGCAGCACGTGACAAAAGTGATAAACACTTGATCTGGAAGCTGATTACGTTATGAGTCTTGTAGGTACACTCGTAAATATCTACAACTTATTGAAACTGCTGACTGCGGTTGTATTTACTAAGAGCAGGGTATTTAATACCTGCACGATTGATTTGATTTTCCAGATATTTTTTTTTTATTATTTACTCCAAGTGCAGACTAAGCAATGAGTGTAACGTGAATTTGCTGCATTGCAATTATCAATAAAATGGCTTAAAACAAAACGTGGTTTATTTTGTCCTGTGTCCTATACAGGCCTACAGGGTAATAAAATTGAGGGTGTTGTCCTAAACAAGGTAAGTATTTTAAGGATTTTTTGTCCTAAACAGGGTTATGGTAAATCTTAACCCGTAGCGGCTCACCTCTTACCCAAATATTGGTCGAGTCCCCCTGGGAAAAAATCTGCTCACTGGCCTTGAAGGAATGTCAGAGTTTTTCCCTGACTGTACCTCTCTTCATGGCGTCTTGCTCATTTTCGTTCATGATAGAAGACACTGGTGGCTGTGGCCATGGTCTCACGGTAACTCTGAGAGAATGCCAAAAGGATATTACACAGCACCTTAACACGATGAATGTATTCGGAGACGACAAAAATGTTGACGAAATGAAATTAATCCTCGCTCGTGCAGGTGAGTAAAATATTTTCCATGTACTAGTTTTTAGCTAAATTGATCTTATATAAGAGCATCTATGTTTTCGCCACCAAAATAGTAAGTAACAACTGACTTTGTAAACTATAGGGATATTCTGTGAGGATGAAACAAAAAATAATCTGACGATCTGCCCGCACCATCGCGATGTATATGGTCTTCGATGGCGGTCCAACAAAAAATATTGTGCAGTTCCACCCGGGATTGCCGCCCACAAGTCTACCACAGTAAAGGGCGATAGAGGTATCAGCTTTGCCCAATCAGAGCTAATATATCAGCAATCTGGTACCCTTGTACCCATCGGAAGTCGTAAGTATAGATACGAGGGTAAGTAGGCACTGGGGAGACGGCATCCGCGACGTCTGGGAATAGAACGAAGTCTACGGTATCGGAATCCGGATTTAGCAAAACAGAAACAGGAACCGGAACCGGAACAGAATAGGAAGGAGAATTGGAACAAGGTGTAGGAGGACGACATTGTCCTGCTGTTCTTGTTCCTTTTCTGAATTCCGTATTCAGTCCTAATATCCAGACGCTCAGGGGTGGGGTGGTGGAGGGCTGGTCTGTAAGGTTGGTGCTACAATAGTTTTGACCTGAAGGGAGGGGCGGGGGAGCGGTGAGAAAAGAGAGGTAAATGATACATTTCTTTCACTTCTCCCTCTCAGTATCCTGGCTAGCGCTCACTTTATAGGCCTCTTGTGAGGGTGGGAATAAGAAAACTGATATCACTAGAACGCGGTGATTCTCAACGTTCCAAAAGTGTGTTGCAATGCGGAGAAATGCATATTTCGAGTTTTGGTTATTTATCAGTTATGGTTCTTGGAAGCAGAAAATACTTCGCGCGCAAAGAAGATAATGTTAGGAACCAGAGAGCGAATGATAAAGACAAGAAAGACACTAGAAAGGGAGGGTTAAAAACGGGTTTGCGTCTCTCTGATAGTTATCCCACACAGCCAGCGAATTCTATCAATTCTAGTCTGAATCTAACAAACTGCGTAAGACAGGTGCCATCTTAAAGTCATTTGTTGTAAACTGACAGTGAAATTTATAACGTCAAAAGCTGGCCAAAAGGGAGCTTTATATTATAACTTGGGCAAATATTAAAATAAGGTTTGTGTAAGTACTTGTTTTGTTCTAATTTAATCTAATAATTGAATGAGTAACTCATTGTTTACTTGACAGTATGAGACTAACTGAAAGACGTCTTGACCCCTTTTTTAGCCATCTGCAGACGATGTAGACAGCATATTACACAAACTTTGGATGAGAGGGATCGTACTCAAGTTAGGGAAGAGCAAGATACAAAAGAACAAACCAGGGATAGCACAGATATTACCTTAACCACGACATGTCTATCGGAGCTATCAATTAAAAGGAGATGTCGGGAAACCAGGACCCTGGAAAAGGCTGAAAAGACTGAAAAGGTACGGCCTATTAACCATGTTAACTTTGCCATTCCGCCTTAACTGATGCATATCAAGTGACAGTTTGAAGCGCTAAGTGGAGGAGAAGACACACCCACGTTGCACAAAAATGAATAAGTAATTAAATAAATAAAAAAATGCTTGACTCTTATCGATGATAATGGCTAGAATCGCTATATACTGTATTCGTGTCTGACTGCTTTGCTCCTCTTGCTCTTTCACAAGGAAAGCGATTTAAGTGATAGCACCTCAGATGACATTGCCGAACAGCTTCAAGGTTTTACGTTAGATAGTCAAGATACGACTTACATGACAAGTTCAGAAACTGCTAGCACAACCTCATCTGTCGGTAAAGCTGAGGAAGCAGAAGAGCAAAAGTCAAAACTGAACGACTTTCTTTTGTCCTGTAAAGTTAAGCCATTGGGTAACCACAGTTGGTTGGAATGGTCAAGTGCCAGCGAATCGACAAGAAGACGCTACCTCGAACATACAGCCGAAGCTGTTGCAGTTTTACTAAAAGTCATTTCCACTACGAATGCTAGTAGCCTTTGGGACGCTCTTCAAAAGTCAAAATTAGTAAACGAAAAACTGAACATCAATTCACTTTCCCTGCCATCAGAGAAGAAATACCTTGAGGCACTTGCAGGGGCGTACATGATTGCTAGCAGTTGGGATACAAGGAGACAGATTTTATCTATTATGGCAGGAGTGGCAAGCTACAATGCTGCTTGTGAATTTATCCCTGGTCTCAGTTCTTATCGATACACCGTTGCAAGTCTACACCGTCTCCAACACGGCCCTGGAGCCCCTGTTCCTGTAGAGCAGAGTACCCGCCTTCGTGTTACAAGAGATCAGTTGGATCACTTTCTCGAATTTATAACCAGCCCCCACTTGGTTCAAGATCTTCCCTTTGGTGAGAAGACACTTGTCCTGTCCACGGGCGAGTCAGTAGTGGTGCCAAATGTTATCAGAACCATGATACCACAGCGAATTGTACAGCAGTACAAACGTTTCTGCGAGGAAACAGATTTTGTCCCATTCAGCGAGAGCACGATGTTACGCATTCTTTCTTCTTGCACTGCCTCGGTCCGTAAGTCCTTACAGGGACTAGATTATTTTGCCACAGAAGGTTCAAAGGCGTTTGATGATCTAGCCCAGCTTATAAGAGATATCTCCCCAAAAGGACTTGACAAGAGCACTGAAGACTCTCTAAAGGCGGGAAAAATGTACTTAAAGGGAGATTACAAGGTAATTAGGTCTTCTCCAGTTAGTGTTTTGCAGGTTATAGCTATGTGCATTCATGGGCAACCCTAGGGCTCTTGACGAGTGGAAACAACAGTTCATGGATCAGTTTTCTTGTGAAAGTAATCGAATAGTTGTTCGCTATTCTACTTTAAAATTTCTTTTATCTGAGATACACCTATCTGGAGTTATTCTTTTGTTAGCTAGAGATCTTTATGGTCCGTCTACCGTAAGTGTAAGCCCCTCTTATCTAATAAAACTAGGAATAAGCGAAATGACGCAACATCATTCAATTTATCCAGTTTCTTGCTTGATTAACAAGGTTTTGCGTAGTGTATCATGTTTAATGTAAAGTTCAAAGTAAGGATAGACTAACGAATGGCAAATCACTTACTCTGAAGGAGGATTCTGACATAAATTTTGAAAGAGTGGATATCTAGACGGCGTACACGTATCAATTGATGGAGTGCCCCTCTTGATAATTTCGCCCATAGCAATGTAGGGTGCTACCCATATAGCTACGAGAATAAACGCCTCTTTCTTTTAAACACCTCCTACCTAATAAATGCCTCCTCCAATCATGGACCTCCAAAATTAACTAAACGGTATACAAAAAACACCAGACTCATGTTCTCGTTTGCAATTGATGGCTGTTTCTTAGGTCCACATCAGTGAAGACTCGTGCGTCCCTGATCATTGCTGCATATATGCTCTGAGTGACTCCAAAGATGAATCCATGAGGAAGAAATGCAACCACGCCCATACTGATCGCTGCAGCCAGTGTGAGGCCTTAGATGAGCTCCTAGATTCCATAGAGAAAGTTGTTCAGGGTGCTAGTTTCTCTCTACCAGAAGAAAGAGATGAAGCTCTCTACATATTTCAGCATGCACGACAAGCTATCATTCTGTGGAAGTGCCATCAGATACGCACCGTTAGACAGGACCAGGCACGCCTCGAAGTCCTCGACCGTCTAGACGATAAAACCTGTCTTATAACCAATGACTGGGCGATGAAATTCTTACCCCAACACTTTAGAGAGACTCAAAGTGATTGGTTCGCAAAGCGCGGGATGTCGTGGCACATCAGTGTTGTGGTACGCAGAGTCAGTTCGCAACTTCAAACCCAAACCTTTGTTCAAATCTTACAGTCGAGTAACCAGGGTAGTTTCACCGTCGTTCTTCTCCTGGAACATGTGTTACGTACGTTGAAGAGTGAACATCCCGAGATCCAGCAGGTGTATTTGCGACAAGACAATGCAGGGTGCTACCACAGTGCCACGACAATTCTAGCCATACCTGCTATCCAGTCTTCATCTGGAATGCGTATCCTTGCAGTAGACTTTTCAGACCCTCAGGGAGGAAAGGGTCCAGCCGACCGTATGTCTGCTACCTGTAAGAATCATATCAGAAGGTATATAAACGAGGGCCATGATGTAACGAATGCGCAGCAGATGAAAACCGCGATCCTTTCCCATGGCGGAGTCGAAGGCGTCAGAGTTGCAGTTGTTGAAGCTTCAGTTAACGAGACCCCAGAACAACGGAAGATCCCTGGAATAAATAAACTTAATAACTTTGAATTTAAGAACGATGGCCTCTTCGCTAGACGAGCTTACGCAATAGGCAAAGGAAGGAAAATCAACACAAAGCACGGACAAGGAGGTAGTTTTAAGGCTTTATATATAAAAATATGTATTTCCTTTCGAGTATAAATGATTATATTTACAATAGTGCTGCCTTGCACCAAAGCACCTGTACGTGCAAAGGGAATATAGAAAGGTTCAAAGGGTATGAGCTATTTGCTCTTTCCAAGGTGCCTTTTACATCTTGACTTGTTTCAGCTTAAAGTAAGCTAGATTAATTCAACAATTATTGAACAAGGCTGGAAATATACAGAAGGCGGAAGTTTCTTATCGTCAGAATATGAATGCATGGAACTTTTTTCTCAAAAAAAGACACACGTGTTACATCCAACGAGCATGAATATTCGTACATACGTTCCGTTCACTTTTAGTCAATAATTCAGCTATTTTCTCTTCGCACATAACCATGATTTCTTTCGCGATTTTCTTGTGTTCTACATTTATGCCAAAACAGCGATAGATCTGCCGTGCTGCTGCCCGCAGCACGGCAGTGATTGAATATAGGCGGCATTTTCCGAAAATGCATTGGTTAACGCCAGCTAGTGATGTAGGTAAGTCGGGTGATTAAAGTTAATCATAAACGGCGAATATATATTATAAATTAATCATAATTTTTATTTAAGCTGGTGTTTCGTTTCAGACTCAAACATGTATTCGCTAAGGGCGCCCTTTTCCAACGGCGATTTCAAATCGCTTAGCAAGCAGTCTAAGCCAGCAAGGGAATCCCAACCTGAAGAACATGCAGCCGCAAATAATCCACTCGAGACACGCCCAACGGCAACCTACAGCTGCCCACAAGATGGCTGCACTCGTGTATTCCAGCGACATTGCGCACTGGAAAACCATTTGAGTTTTGAGAGATGCTCAAAGTCTGTTGAAAGAGCGACACTTCTGGACCGTGCCAAAACAGAATACGCCACACGCCTTTTGGAGGGAGTTGGCAAGATTCCAACATTGCCAAACACTTCGGGGACTTCAGCCTCAACATGTACAAAGCGATTACAAGAGGGTTGGGCCTTAAAGCAAATGAAGAAGCCATATCGTTTCAGCGACAAGCAGAAGTCGTACTTGGTTGAAAAGTTTAATATTGGGCAGGGTACGGGCCGAAAAGTGGATCCAGAGGTGGTTGCAAAAGAAATGCGAAGAGAAAAAGATGAAAACGGTGTGCGTCTATTTACAATTTCAGAATTTCTTACTCCCCTCCAAGTGTCATCTTTCTTTTCAAGGCTGGCGGCAAAGGTGCGACAGCATGCAGTTGGTGAACCAGTACTCGAGGAAGAGGACATCACAGCGGCTAACGAGGAGGAAAACTTCGTCACCGCACGGCAATCAATTTTGGCATCACTAAACTTGTTCCATCCCATAGTTTGTGGCCAAAATAATTTGTGCGAGTTGGTTAGGCGAAACACCCTCTCAAAGTTGAAATTGGATGAGCTGCAATGCTGTTGTGCGGAGCTTAGCCTACCTGTCCCTGTTCCACCAGTACGGCGGAAAGCTCCATATGTTAACCTGTTGAAGGAGCTTGTCAAGGAATGCACCTGCATGGATGTCGAGTCACCCTAGAGAGTACCTATGAACGGCTCTAGTTAATTATCAATTTTCGATTTTTACTGAAAATTTGATTTCGTATGAATTATAAGAAATTACCTCACACCCCTTCTTTCATAAAATTGTAGTTACCCTAAAATTCCGAAAATAGGCCCCGCGGCTTATATTTTTCAAAGACCCTTTTTGAGGGGCTTATTATTTTTGGAGGGGCCTATATTCGGAGGGGTTTATCTAAGGAGGGAAATCTGCGTTTCCAAATCGATTGGGCTAGCTTTTGCTTTGTTTTACTTTGTATTTGGGGGCAATTTTCCAAGTACAAGCCCCCGGGGGGCTTATATTTGGAGGGGCGATTTAACGGAGGGGTTTTTGCGTTATCGGTTTTGGAGGGGCCTATACATGGAGGGGATTATTTTCGGAATTTTACGGTATTTTCCGC